CCCTGCTTGCTTCAGTGCATGGCTGCCGGCCGCCATCTTGGCTGTCAGTTAATTTGCATATACTCACTGATTAGCCAATGAAAAGGGTAGCGGTCGTACGCTAATTACCATGTTTCTCTTTTATTAGTGTAGATTCTTCACTTCCCATGTTTCAGTGATGTTGAGTTACATCCTCATTCTTGCTTCCTTGGCTTGCAGATGTTCCTTCTAGCTAAAAGCTTCCCAACCAGACCCCATCCGCCCAGGACCTTTGACCTCCATCCCAGTCTGGCTCCTACTTGATCTCTCAACACTGTGCTCAAATAGACCACCTCACTAATGGCACCCCCAGGCGGAGTGTGCAGCGGCCTCTCTGTGCTGCCACGGTACCTGGGACCTACCTGTCTGTTCCAGCCCTTATCATGCCCTGTTGACTTATTAGCCATTTTCCTTTCATGTCGGCCTCCATGCTGCTCTGTCAACTCTCCGAAAGCCAACCTGGCCCAAGCCTTGTTTGTCTTCCATGCTTGGAATCTTTGAATGTCTCAATACATTTTGAATGAGAACCTTCAACACTGTCTGAACAGGTGCTGGAGGACTGGAGAGTGTGAAGTCTGTGTTTTGGTTCACTTTTTCTATTTTTCGATATTCTAACTTCAAATGACTTCAGAGATTTTGATGAAAGGTTGGCATGTTCAAAAAGTTATTAAGAAGCATCCTAAGTTCATTTTGTGCTTTCTGGTGGCTTTTCTTTTCCTTGAATATCTGAACATGTCTTTATTGTACCCTCATACTTGATTGATTGCTTGGCTAGGTATAAGAATCTTTGGGATTTTGAAGGCCTTCTTCTTTTATTTACACCACTAACTGCCAGTCTTCCCCTGTTACCCCTCCCCCCCACACACAAAAAATAGAAAACACTGAAGCTGCCAAGACTAGGAACTGAGGTGGATCATTTTGCTCCCACATTGTCCCTCACGGCTTCTCTGTTAATGGTTACACATCACTCTGTGAGAGGCTCTGCTACTCCCATGCTCCATGGCTTCTTCACCTCCCCACGCCCTCTCCTTGTGATTCTGGTGGCCACAGCCAATTTGCGATGGTCTATGGCTCTGCCCATCTCCTGTCTCTTATTCTCCCTCCTAACTTGTTAAGCTAGAAAAGAAATTGCTAAATACGGATTCCAAAGAAATGAATATGGTTTTTCCAGCTCATCTTTCTGGGCCAGATGAGACACCTCATAGAATACCAGCAGCTTTGATCCTTGACTGCCCTATGTCAGGTCCCTGTCCTTGGTCCAATCAGCTATGGAGGGACACTTGGCATCATATGGTTTTCAAATTTTGGCCAATAAAATACAAAGGGGCAAAGTAGTAGCTCAGTATTGTCTTAATTTGCACGTCTCTAATTACTGGAGAACTTGAACATCCCTTCATGTTCAATGGTCTTTTGGGTTATCATTTCTATAAATTTCCTGTTCATAGCTCTTTGCCTGTTTTCTCTATTGATACTGCTGTCTTAGTGTGGAATTTTAAAATGAAAAGGTATTTTCAAAAATTTTATATATTTAAAAGGTATAATTAAATTGTTACAGGATTAAAAGTTAATAAAAGATACACTGACATATAAAGAGAAACCAATAATTCACACTGCTAAATGTTTTGATTTTTTTATGCAGAATGTGGATGAATATCACCATTCAGAAAATTTTTTTCAGTATGAGAATACAGGCTAACACTATGAAGAATGATTTTCTAAATTAAAACCTAAAGTCATATAAATGACATCACAAAAATGTTGTTAGCAAAAGTGTCTTGCAAAATGAATATTAATTTCATGCTTAACATAGCAAACAGCATGAAAGAAATAGAAAGACTGAGGAACTAATACTGACAAAAGGAGATAGAGACCAACTGAACATAATGTGTGATGCTGGGTTGGATACTGACTCAGGAAAAAGATGCCAGAAAGTGCATAATTGGGACAGTTGGTGAATTTGAATAAGGACTATATGTTAGATAATGGTGTTCTTTGCATTTTAAATTCCCATAATTTGATAGTTATATTGTAGTGTTGTCTGCCTGGTGTGGTTCAATGGTTGAGTTTTGACCTATGAATGGTTTGATTCCTAGTCAGGGCACATGCCTGGGTTGTGGGCTCAATGCCCAATAGAGGTTGTGCAGGAGGCAGCTGATCAATGATTCTTTCTCATCAATGGTGTTTCTATCTCTGTCCCTCTCCCTTTCTCTCTGAAATCAATAACATATATATATTCAAAAAGCGTATGTCTTTATTATTGAGGAAACATGTTAAAGTGTCAATGACTATGGCTCAGCAAAAAGAATAATAGATAATAATATATTTGTATTGTGTGTGAATGTATTTTTTTGTGTATGGTATAATTTAGCTCATAACAATAGATCTACCTCTATATTGATCTATCATCTGCCTA